GACTTCATTGTTGTGGCACAAGTGGGACTTGTCAATTACTCGGCCAATACACTATGTTGTCGGAGGGTCTGACAGCTGAGTGCACAACGCTCGAGATTCGTAGTCCTAAGGTTCCGAGTTTGATCCCTGGTGGATGCGGAAACAAATGAGCAGTTTCTTTCACCTTGATGCCCCTGTTCACCTAGCAGTAAATAGGTACCTGGGAGTTAGACATCTGCTACAAGCTGCTTCTTGGGGATGTGTAACAAAAAGGAAGCCTGATCGAGGACCGGACTACAGGAACGCTAATCCCCGAAATCATCTCAAGATAACCTCTCAAGGTGCCTTAATTTGTACCCAACACCAATCGGCAACAAAAATAAAACGGACACCTCTTCATGACTTGGTTACACAGATAGGTTTAGCAAAATGTAACAAACCAGACAAAATTAATTGGAAAATGATTGACTTGGGCCTAACAGAAGATACCACTACTAGAAAGCTTTTTCAATTTAATATACATAATAATCAATATTGCTATATTACAGATGAGGAAAACCACAGCAAATGCAAATCTGGAGCTCCATAGCCATTTCAGCTGAGCAAAGGTCAGTTGGCTTTTGGTTGCCTAAAACCCTGCAGCAGGAAGAGGTGGTGTTGGTTGTGGGGGTATTGTACTTTACTCTGAACTCGTGATGTCACACTTTTAAGTCAATCCTTGGTTAAACAAAGCACAAAGAGGAGACAGCAATAGAAACCCCAAACTGAAACGACCAGTATTTATCTGTGGCCCTAAAACCTTGCTTCCTCCTGGGAACTCCTTATCAGGGGATGACCACACAAGTTTCTCCAGGAGGGTCCATCACCACTCACAGACCTTTCACTCCAGGAGGGTCCATCCATCACCACCCACAGACCTTTCACTCCTGGAGGGTCCATCCATCACCACACACAGACCTTTCACTCCTGGAGGGTCCATCCATCACCACACACAGACCTTTCACTCCTGGAGGGTCCATCCATCACCACCCACAGACCTTTCACTCCTGGAGGGTCCATCCATCACCACACACAGACCTTTCACTCCTGGAGGGTCCATCCATCACCACACACAGACCTTTCACTCCTGGAGGGTCCATCCATAACCACACACAGACCTTTCACTCCAGGAGGGTCCATCCATCATCACCCACAGACCTTTCACTCCAGGAGGGTCCATCCATCATCACCCACAGACCTTTCACTCCTGGAGGGTCCATCCATCACCACCCACAGACCTTTCACTCCTGGAGGGTCCATCCATCACCACACACAGACCTTTCACTCCTGGAGGGTCCATCACCACACAGACCTTTCACTCCTGGAGGGTCCATCCATCACCACACACAGACCTTTCACTCCAGGAGGGTCCATCCATCATCACCCACAGACTTTTCACTCCAGGAGGGTCCATCCATCATCACCCACAGACCTTTCACTCCTGGAGGGTCCATCCATCATCACTCACAGACCTTTCACTCCTGGAGGGTCCATCCACCACCACCCACAGACCTTTCACTCCAGGAGGGTCCATCACCACACAGACCTTTCACTCCTGGAGGGTCCATCCATCACCACACACAGACCTTTCACTCATGGAGGGTCCATCCATCACCACCCACAAACCTTTCACTCCAGTAGGGTTCATCCATCATCACACACAGACCTTTCACTCCAGGAGGGTCCATCCATCACCACACACAGACCTTTCACTCCAGGAGGGTCCATCCATCACCACCCACAGACCTTTCACTCCAGGAGGGTCCATCACCACACAGACCTTTCACTCCTGGAGGGTCCATCCATCACCACACACAGACCTTTCACTCCTGGAGGGTCCATCCATCACCACCCACAAACCTTTCACTCCAGTAGGGTTCATCCATCATCACACACAGACCTTTCACTCCAGGAGGGTCCATCCATCACCACACACAGACCTTTCACTCCTGGAGGGGTCCATCCATCACCACAAACAGACCTTTCACTCCTGGAGGGTCCATCCATCACCACACACACAGACCTTTCACTCTCTCAAGCGCTTGATACTTTATCCCATCTTTCATTTTCTATTATTATTATTATTATTATGCTCTTACCTGCCATGATACTGGTTACTTGACACTCTTTGTCTTGTCAATTCCTCTATTTTACCCTTCATGTATCCTTGACTGCACAACACATTTTTCCTATTAGATCTGAAAAAGCTCTTACAGCATAATCACCTATAAATCAAATCTACTGTCTACTTGGTACTTATCTACCTCAAAAATCTTATTTATGAGGTAGATTTATAGAGGTCCATTTCTTATATACAGTACTGTATTGTATATACTATTTATATTACCTGCCTTCAAAATGTTTTCTCAAGTCTCTTATTCCCCTTACAGGTAAAAAGTTATCTTCAAATAATTCAAATAATATCTACTCTCAACTTTGGATTTTTTCTACAATACTGTCACCCTCTGTACCATGTTCAACCATATTGTAGTTATTCTGAGCACTGCTAGTAAACTTTCAGTACTTTTAGCACAAAAGTAACTCGTAGATAATACATTCGAAAAATTGTGTTGGGTGTTAACCCCTGCACTGCATCAGCCGACATATTAAGGGGTGTGGTGGTGCGCCAGCCGACATGTGATGATGTTAGTATATCATGAGATTCAAAACCCCCATACATACAAGGGGGCTCACATTTGCTTCCTCAGGCCTCGAGTAACCATCCCCCATCTTGAAAAAAATCTATGGCCTTAGTAATGTGACCAATGTAACGTTCCTAAAGCCATGGCTTTAGGAACGTGCAGGGCAGCCATACTAAGAGCCACTAAAATTTTAACAACAAGAAGTTAGTGATTACCATTATATATTTCAGGAAAAATGTGTGCTATGTCCGGTTATAAGGTTTAGGCTTATATATATATATATATATATATACAGGCATACCTCAGAATACGAGTTTAATCCGTTCCTGGAGACGCCTCGCCTACCGAAAACTCGCATTCCGAAGTTAATTTCCCCATAAGAAATAAAGGGAAATGAATTAATCCGTTCCTGACTACCCCAAAAACCCCACATCAAACTAAATTTTTATACCTAATTTACCTAATTCATCTAAATAAACCTACAAAACTGTGTTCCAGTTATTACTTACCTTGCTGTCGAGTGCTGTAGGCGTATGGAAGATGGTGAGGAGGGGGGAGGAGGAGAGGAGTTACTGTTTGGAAGGGGAGTCCCCTTCCATAATCACATCACATAACCCCATGCCTTGTAACACTATGGATACCACTTCTCTTTCTAAATTTTTCAAACCAGCCCCTGCTTGCCTTAAACTCTTTCTTATCTGCATCACTCGTTGCAGGGGTATTCTTTAGAAGGTCTTCGTGCAACACCTTGGCTTTCTCACAAATAATGGCCTCCGAAACACTATCACCCCTCAACTCCTTGTCGTGTATCCAAATTAATAACAACTTTTCCACTTCTTCAAGTATTTGTGGTCTTTGTGCCGTTAATGTTCTTACTCCTTTTGCCACTTTAGCACCCATAATCTTATTTTTCTTCTTAAGTATAGTGCATATTGATGTGGCTTTGTTGTACTGCCTACAAAGTTCAACAACACGTGTACCGTTCTCATGCTTCCGAATGATCTCTTGTTTCTCCTCTATTGTCATCCTCACATGAGCTTTCTGGCCTTTATCCTTACCACTGGCTTTCTTGGGACCCATGGTGAGATATATAATAACAAATTGTATAGACAAATCACCAAAAATCCAACAAAACACTGAAAATCCGCGAGAAGAATTGATGTGGGGGTAGTCACTGAGCGCGAGACAATGGTAAACTGAGGGGCGGAGGGGCGACGATCGCCGAACCACTACGCGCTAGGTCGGCCTGTACGCGTATCAACAAACTCGCGTCCCGAAGTAACCCTCGCCTTCTGAGACAAATTTTTGGAGTAAATACTGCTCGCCTTCCGAAAACCTCGCATACAGGGACAATCGCATTCCGAGGTACCACTGTATATATATATAATCAGTATGAATAAATGCATGGTGTGCATATATTTATATACATATAGTATATCTGTATATATGTATACTGTATTTTCAAAGTTATACATCATGAACATCATCTTTGACACATTGATACAACTTGTTAGAGCGAAAAACTATATAAATAAAGTGAGAAACATTGAAAAGAAATTGACACAGTTATTCCCATGTGGCAACTCACCTCATTTAAAAAAAAAATGCAACTTCTCCCGGCCACTATGGCTAAACTACAAGAGGTAGAGACTCTTTACTTGGATTCTTGCACTTCCTTTGTGCTAATATCAAAAGGAAAAATACTATTTTCGGTGCATCACGGGAATGTCATTAAAAAAAAAAAACAATGCGCAGTGCAGGGGTTAAAAGTTACTGACTTCTTTAAGACTGATTTTGTTTATTTAAAATATTAATTAGGCGTATGCTTACTATTATCTTGCCAAGTGGGAGACATGATAGAATATTGTATGGGGCCAATGTGGCAACTTGATGAAGATAAAGAGTGGTTACTGCTATGGCCAAGAAAAATGCATTACTAAATGATGACAACTATTGAAGGGCTACTTGTTAGCCCTTCAATAGCTCATTGCTATTGAATAGCTGTATAGCTCATTGACAACCATACAAAATGAGTCACAATAACGTGGCTGAAGATATGATGTCAAACCACACACCAGAAGATGAAGAGACGACCACATTTCAATCTGTCCTGGACCGAAACAATTGACTTGATAATGGTCCAGGACGAACCAAAACATCGTCTTCATCTTCTGGTGTCTGGTTTGGTCATCACACCATAAAAATATCTATGGTTATTGGTGGGGAAAAAAAAATAAAAAATAAAAAAAATCTGCCTTCTCTCCTAATTTGTTGCATTTTTTATGGAATTAACTAATTCGTTTACAACACAATGTATTGGTAAAAATTTAAACACTTTAATATATATATTTTCTATGTATTGGCCTCAAAAGGTCAGGTGGGTTTTTGGGTTCATACATTACTGGTTATTCAAATTAATTGCATTTTTTTACCGAATATTTTCACTACCTTAAGAAATATACACATTCATTTGTTTATTTGACAGTCTATTACTGACAAGAGCAGTAGTACACATACAGTCTTTTTTTAAATGACGTGCAGTTAGCTAACTTCCATCCCACTGTTGCATAGTTTGTAATTTTTGCACTTCATATTTATCTATTTCTAGAAGCCAGAATCTTCAAAACCCCATTAAAGCCCTTACACAATATCTAAAATGTGAAGAGGTTTGAATTTCCCAAAGTGCAAAAAACTAGCGTTGAATGTAATGAAACGCCACTTATTGAGCCCCATTGATTCCCTGAAGCTAATGGACTGATATTTGCTATAGAAGTCAGAGCATCATTTAACTGGAATGCCAATTAACTGATGCTCTGACTTATATAGCAGATATCAGTCCATTAGCTTCAGGGAGCCAAAGGGGTTCACCTCAGAAATACAGAATTTCCTTGCTTATCGCTAACATATGTAGAAGTAAATATTTAGGATAAAAAATCTAGTAGTGTAAAATCTAACATTTAGAAGAATTTAGTGAAGATATAGCAGAAATATTCACAATTATGTAAGCAAGTTTCCTTTAGAAATTGAACTTGGTATAATCCTGATCCGTTTGATTGGGCTTACTATATGAGAGAATGCAAAATTCAGGAGTTCTACACTTTCCTTACAGAAAATGCTAAAATATTGCTTCGGTTACAAAACTGTTTGCAGCAGTACCCCCAAACAGTTGGGAAAACTTTTAAAGTTTCAACACACATCCTTTCATACATTAAGTGCTTGAATGTTCAACATTCACCTCAAATTCAATATCACAAGATGAGATACCTTCAAAGGATATCTCAATTCATCCAATTGAACTAGACTTGCTCTTGAACCAGAGGTTAACAAGACTCATGGTTTATAACACTGCTGCCATGAAACTTCAATTTATCAAGAGTCCAAGAGCTTATCTAGCAAATTCACTGGAATGAAAATATTTTTGACAGCTTCACACATGAACAGATGAACACTGTTCATTTGTGGACATTTCCTATGATGGAAACTGACTACTTCTGTGTCAGAAACCTTTTAATAAAGGAATAGATGTACACACAAACTTCTCACGTGCACCCTCATGGTTGCGGCTGTGTCATGCTTGTACTGCCAAAAGTATTGAGTTCTTCTAGCTTGGAGTACGTAGGGGGAGTGAATTTCCGCCGCAGGAATTTTAAGATGTAGAGAGGCAGGCAGGAGACTAATGTGATGACTACAACTTTCCAGAAGAAATCTTTGGATTTAATGAAATCCCAATCTGAAACATAACGTTTTCATAGTGTTACCTTATATAATATGTAGATGTTTGGTAAATTAACTATTGTAAAGCAAATATGAGACCATTTTGGGGACAAGGATAGATTACAGTGTCAGGATAATCATCACTTATAAAATAACAAGGTAGGAAATGTGGGGTTAAATGCAGTGCTACAAATTTGTGAGCTGCTGGCTGGCCTTGCAGGTCCTGACATGAAAGAGGTTTATGGTCCTGCCTTTTGATGAATCTTTCTTTGGCCTCAAACTGTGTCATCATCTTGCTTCCCCTTTCAGAGCAGGAGTGATTGTTGAAGTAGAGGGAATACCGAGAACATGTATGGCATGGAAAGACACAGTAAGGTGCCTAAATTATTGGGACTGTCTCAGAGCTCTCAAAATGTACTCTTTCAAAAGAAGACGAGAGAGAGGTATCTCATAATATATACTGGAAGGCTAATTCCAATATTTACTCAGTAAAATATTATACTGTACTGGAGTGAATGATAGAAAATGCAGAATAGAAAGAGTGAGGAGCAGAGGTGCCATAAGCATATCAAAGGTCCTTGGATATTCAATACCCTCCCAGCAAGCAGAAACAAATATTGTCAGAACAAAAGTGGAAGTCTTACGCACACAAAAAAAAGCAACACGTTAACCCATGAGAAGTGCCAGACCAACTGAGTTGTAGTGGACCTGTGGGCTGCTTCAGCAAGTGTTGGACCAAGTTATCACAAGTCAAGTCTGGCCCCGAGGCTGGACTTTGGTAGAAGAAGAATTACCAGAATTCACTCCAGGTATGAATTGTTGCTCTGTTATATATTTCTTCTTAATTTCAATACTATTCTTGTACAGGAGATGATGACTTCTTCCTCTTGTTAGCAGGTATAGAACACTTCCTTCTAACAGCTCATTTTAAGCCTTGCCTAACTAGTTCTCCGTGGAGTACAATACATTAATCTGTTGACAAGTCAATCCTCAATTACTGCTGAGTCAACAGGGACAAACAGTTGTTGGTATGGAGATATAGAATTCTCTTGTTTTACGAGGTGTTTTGGGGTCTTCCATTTGGCTAGTTGTGCCAAAACCACACCTATTTCTGGTATTTTCTTCGGAGGCCCACTTCTTATTTGGCCTCCCAGCTCCTGCCACCGATACAGGTTCCAAATTGACCCAAGAGTTAAAACCCCACAAGCATCAGCAGGGACTGTTTTGGATATATCTGGAGTTCCAGAGCTCATTCCTGCTTCATCGGCTTGTGCAGTCTGCGGGGACTAAGAAGGCCTGTATGAAGGCACTCCTCCACCTACCCTAGAAATGGATGCAGGTTTGAAATTGGGCTCCAACCCAAGTTCTTTTGCTTCTGTGGCATAAGAGAAATCCTGAGTTTTGGAAATGCCTGAGGATAGGATATGGTTGCCATTTGACCTGTTCTGATGATTCTTTCCCACAGAAAAGGGCTCTTTTCTCCTGGTGGGAAACGTGTACCCTAATGCCAACTCAAGCTAGATGTCTCCTTAGTCCTTCTGAAATGTTTTTCTAAATGCCTGTGTGCAATTCAGTTATGCCCTTGCTTTATAGATTTATGCAGTCCCACCCATCTTCTGTACTAGCAAGACAAGAATTTGTCACAGTTCTTGTTTGAAGACTGTGGCTGACTATACTTGGGGAATGGATTCACCAACTTTCATATCATTTACATCAATGACACAGATGAGAATATACAAACCACCTCATTAAATTTTCAGAAAATTTAGGTAAAGTAGGTAGTGAAAATGATACTGAGGCTTTACAAGAAAGGCCAGAAGACTGACAAATACGTTTTAATATAAAAAAAATGCGAGACATTGCATGTGGGGCAATGCACATCACGACTACCAAATCAACAATATTATCCTGCAGCAAATTCATGAAGAAAAAGACTTTGGAGTCAAAATACACCAATCTCTGAAAGTTGCACAACAACTGGGAGCTGCAGTTAAACTAGACAATCAAACCCTAGGAATAGTCAAACAAACCTTTGACTTCAAGGAGGGAGGGAGAGAGGGAATTATCAGGGGAAAGTGCCTAGCCATTACGACTATAAAGCACTTGGAAGGGGTCAGGATAAGGATTTGGAACGGGACGGGAGGAAGGAATAGTACCCAATCACTTGGACGGTTGGGGATTGAACGCCGACCTGCAGGAAGCGAGACCGACGCTCTACCATACAGCTCAAGTGGTTGAACTTGACTTCAAGGAAAAGGAGGTAGTTATTCAACTGAATAAATCTCTGGCATGCCCCCACTTTGATTATTGTATCCAAGCACAGTGACCTCATCTTCAGAAAGAATACTATAAGAAAGCCAACTGTGAACAAGAACCAAAGGTTCAACAGAATAATTTACATTTAGTCCCCCTCCAGCTTCCCTTGCTATAGTCTGAAGAATGTAGGGTTTCAGGGGCTTGGGAACAATGCAAAGAACACTTTCATTTGTTAATGGTCAGGGGTAAAAGGTTGCCGGGGAGGCACCAGGCAGTTAGAAAATGGCCTCACTTTGTAAACTTGTCTGATCCTGAAGGAGACCTCTTATGCAGATTTAGCATTCAATTATATTTTTGCTGGACCAAGCTTATGTCTAGTGGCTCCCTACCACTTTTATGACTGAGGAGGGAATTTTATAAGGTTTTTCCTTTGGGGTAAAGATGCTAACCCCAAAAGTTGCCTCCTTGTGAACCAGATTCAGCTGCCAAAGAGGCAACCAAATGCAAATACATGTACAGTAGCTCATAAAAATGTACAGGACCAAAATTAGATATTCTAAAACTATGATGTTTATATGCATCATTGTAAAAACTTGGTTCTTGCTTTGCATTTTGCTAAATAACTTTTTCATATATTCATTTACAGCAACAAATACTCAAAAGCACACCATGAAACATTGATCGGTACTTACCAAAATAATGCATGAAGATGATCGACAGAAGGTAAAAGCCAAAGGACAGGAACTGTGCGACAATCATGAGGGGGTGCCAAGTGCGCACGGTGAGACCCACCATCAGCAGCTCCGTCAGAATCAGCGACGTAAAGCTGATACTCACGACGTGTATCAACTCCTCCTCAAACAGCAGCATTGCACCATACATAAGCACACCACCTAAAGAATAAAAACTTTATGTGAAACTGAAACACTAAATTAATTATAAATGTGCAACTATTTATGAATAAAGTACAGTATATTGTTTTATTTGGTTACATCATCATCATAACCCAAGTGTCACAGGGTTGTGACCAGATATGATAGAAGTACATAGTAAATAAAACTCCAAATTTAAATGTAGTGACACTTGAATATTTGTAAGACTAGTAAGACAAAAGTCTTCGTATGACTTCATAAGATAAAAGACCTTTCATAATGAATCTCTATTTGTACCGTTAGAAATTTTATTACAGTATCGGTTTATATCATTAGGCATTAGTTTAATTGATGTTTTGAAAACATAAACATAGCACAATAATGACTGAATCCCTCATGCTGTGAGGAGGTATTGAACATGTACACGAACCTGTCAGTAAAGTATCTCTGCAGTACAGTCCCATCATCCCAGTGTTTACTTGCATCACAGGATAATCCACGACTACAGCATTTCCATAGTGTATGACTGAGCTACAATTTCTCTCACTAATGTTTAACCAAAAACTTGACTGGCACTTAACCCGGTCGGATGTTTTCCCAACCCTATTCTATTCCCTTTGCTTAATTTAGTATAATGTTTGCAGGCTTCCCACATTTCAATTTCTACACTAATGCTTGTTTCTTCCATGGACTTTTCTTATTACAGCCGTCTTATACCGGCAAAATCGATAATGTTCTTATTTGCACTTATTTCATCAATTCCACTCATAGTGCAATTAAGACTTGACTTACCCATTCCTAGTATACAACATGCCTTTCTCAAAGTTACATAAAATACACGGTTATTAACAAAGTTAAACACTTCTTGCAGATTTAAAATATTTCATACCTTGATAAATACTAATTAGCACCCAAACAAAGAAGGTTTTATAAGACAAAGATCTTCCTTTGGTAAGATCCTTGTACAGCTCTGGGTAGGTGAGAGCTATGCTTGGAGAGACATCAGTGTCCAGGACGAGAGAGAACACAGGGAAGTTGGTGTAGAAAGTAGCATACCTGAAAACAAAATAACATGTAATTTACAAAAGCATTATGAAACATGGCAGCTGGTCTGTTGGCCCATACTAGGTGGTTCCGAATCTCATCCACCACCCCAATCTCTGTTGGCCAATACTAGGTGGTTCCCAATCTCATCCACCACCCCAATCCCTGTTGGCCCATACTACTTGGTTCCTGTTTAAATCAGCCCTCCTCTTACCCAGGTACCTATCCAATTTGTTCTTGAAACCTGTTCTTCTACTCATCTCAGTGGCAGCTGGCAGCCCATTCCACTCACCCATAACCCTATTTCCAAACTAGCACTTCCCTATAGCCAGACTAAAATATATTCCTTCAGCTTACATGCATCATCATGAATTTCAGTTAATATCTATCATTATAATCTCTAAATCACACAAAAGACCTCATTATGGCATCGGGGAAATTATTTACCAATTGACCAATTTTAAACAACAATATTAGCCATAACTCGGGTCATACTAACTATTACATAGATTCTTCATCTCCTTACCGTTCAATTGTCATCTGTTTACAAAACTTTAGTCAATTTAATAATAAAGCCTAAATAGCTCAACACATAATAATGTTTAATATGTAAAACTATTTTTTATCCCCATATCAATGGAAAGCTAAATTTCACAAATATACAATAGCTAATTTCATAATTTTCAGAACGTCCAGAAACATGTCTGTCAAAACAAATTAAGTAAATGGGACAAGCTACAAAGGGACATTATTGAGGCAAATTTAATAAGCAACTTGAAAAGGAAATCTAATGAGAAATAGGAGGAATGAAATTGCATTATCTGACCAGGAGATGGAAAGATGGGGCTAAAGAAATGCTGTATTACTGGATCATGTAAACACACCTCTGTGAGTACTTTTAACCCCTGGCTGGCACTTGCCTTGAACAGTGCTTTTGGTACCATCATGCACACTAAACTCACCCAACCATGAGGAACCCTTGATAAAGAGCAACACTGGAAAAGTAGAAAATTGATGAAAATATCGCTTGAATGGTGGATATGATGAGGCCGCGGTGCATAACAAATTGGGAGAGAGCCGCTGAACGCTTGTAGGAGTTACGGCCATGGACTAAACAAAGCCTTGCTATGTGTTGGAATTGTTCAACACTGAAGTCTGCTGCTAACGAGGCCTGTTTTCCTTCCTGGTAAGACAGAATCGTGCACAATATTTTAAAATAATACCATTTTTCAATGACGTTATAAAATGGTTTTTTACTAAGTAATTTACTCATTATAATCTCTTAATAAAATGTTAATATACAATACTACAGTATATACAATAAACCCAAAATGGGAAAAATCTGTTTTTTGACACAGAAGTGAACAGTAATGAATATAGTAAGTTATTTACGTTAATATTTTTTGAACATGCATTCCTTTTACTGTATAGTACAAACACTACAATTGTCCATCAAAATATGAACTTCCATGAAATCAGCATCTTCTTGAGATTATATCTTGAGATGATTTCGGGGCTTTTTTTTTTTTAGTGTCCCCGCGGCCTGGTCTTCGACCAGGCCTCCACCCCCAAGAAGCAGCCCGTGACAGCTGACTAACACCCAGGTACCTATTTTACTGCTAGGTAACAGGGGCATAGGGAATGTCTTTTATTTTACAGTGTAAGATAAACACACCTTGCCAACTATACCAATACCAGCATCTGCAGCCTGAATCATGGAGACATCGTTGCCACCATCTCCCACGGCTGCTGTCCGCTTCCCCGTGTGTCGCTGTATGAGGCGGACAACGGCGGCTTTCTGGCCAATACAAATGCAGACACAAATCATTATTTCATAGAACTGAAATGCAGCATATTTAAAATTCTTTAATTGTAAATACAGAAGTCATTCTATTGCACATCAATTCATTCTATTGCACATAGAAAAACTGCTGTGAAAATCACTTTTGTCAGAAGTAATATATAGATAATTTAGTAACAAAGAAAACTATTGAAACAAAATTCTTCACTATTAGATAATATAAAAGAACTTATTTTTTTATATGAACTCTTTTTAACTTTTGAAACCACAGTGTTATTCATTTAAAACATATGAAACAGAAATGCAAAATCAATTTTGCAAATGCATACCTAAATGTAATCATACATACATGCACAAGCAATTGCAAATTCAATCTACTCTTGTTTTTTTTTTTTTTTGAGATATATACAAGAGTTGTTACATTCTTGTACAGCCACTAGTACGCGTAGCGTTTCGGGCAGGTCCCTGGAATACGATCCCCGCCGCGATGAATCGTTGTTACAACCAAGTACAGTACAGTGGTACCTCGGAATGCGATTGTCCCTGTATGCGAGGTTTTCGGAAGGCGAGCAGTATTTACTCCAAAAATTTGTCTCAGAAGGCGAGGGTTACTTCGGGACGCGAGTTTGTTGATACGCGTACAGGCCGACCTAGCGCGTGGTGGTTCGGCGATCGTCGCCCCTCCGCCCCTCAGTTTACCATTGTCTCGCGCTCAGTGACTACCCCCACATCAATTCTTCTCGTGGATTTTCAGTGTTTTGTTGGATTTTTGGTGATTTGTCTATACAATTTGTTATTATATATCTCACCATGGGTCCCAAGAAAGCCAGTGGTAAGGATAAAGGCCAGAAAGCTCATGTGAGGATGACAATAGAGGAGAAACAAGAGATCATTCGGAAGCATGAGAACGGTACACGTGTTGTTGAACTTTGTAGGCAGTACAACAAAACCACATCAACAATATGCACTATACTTAAGAAGAAAAATAAGATTATGGGTGCTAAAGTGGCAAAAGGAGTAAGAACATTAACGGCACAAAGACCACAAATACTTGAAGAAGTGGAAAAGTTGTTATTAATTTGGATACACGACAAGGAGTTGAGGGGTGATAGTGTTTCGGAGGCCATTATTTGTGAGAAAGCCAGGGTGTTGCACGAAGACCTGTAACACTGTAAAAGTGTTTGGGTTAGTTTATTTAAAAAACAGTATATATAGAGTACACGAGTCACAGACAAGGATCTGAGAGGCGCCAGTTGTCTGCCTGAGATCTCACACCTCTAACCGTTAATGACCCCAAGTGACCTGAGGTCAGATCATGATAATTTCACCTTGCTTCCGCTAAGCGTATAATTGGAGCCGGGTAGCCTTCAAACATGCCGACGTTTAAGGAGTGGCTTGGTAGTGCCGGAGGCTATCTACTTGTGGGCGGAGTTAGCTACTAGGTTCCCCAATATAAACTCGGAGAGCTATCCAGCATGGAGCATTAACAGACAGAACAGACAGAACGGCAGTCAGGAGAGCAGAGCAGACGGGAGGCTGTCGGCCGGCAGGGCGGGAGTCTCCGTCAACTACAAACCCCCCCCCCCTCTCTATTCAACTTAGACTCAGTCCTCGGTGAGTGAACATTAAGGTGACTTGGTCGTGTTTACATATGTTGTGTGATGATCAGGGGCAGTCAAGTTGTAGGGTTCTCGAATTCTTGGATGATGACTCTCTTTAACATTTTAATTGAATTGCTAAATTATGATACTTCATGGGAAATATAATTATGAATTTATTATTTAAATTGTGTTTAACTTTGTTCCCTAGAGATTTTGAGTTGAGGTGAGAAAGCCTCTGTGGTTACTGGTTTCATGATATTAACGAGTACATGTTTGGAGTTGATACATGGTACAGAGGGAACATACTAATAATGAACTCATGATAACATCTTTTGAGAATTTTGTGATACAGGCAAGTTCCATTCCTTGTCTTGTATGTAATGATCATGAATGGATGGTGGCAGCATTTCGTCTTCTACTATCTACTCTTCTACTCTCTACTATCTACTCTTCTACTTCTACCTATCTACTCCTCTCCCTCCACCCCTCTCTAAACTCTCACTTTCAACTAATGACCCTCCTCGCCCCTCCCACCTCTCTCCCTCTCACCCCAAACCCTCACTAATTACTTCACTATTCATTTCTTTCCTTTCGTTTTCTCTTTTACGTTTGTGGCAATGATTCTGTATTCTAGAGTTCTCTCTAGAGTTTCGGGTAACTGATCAAGTGACGGCGCCTTGTAGTCTTAGCACCTAGGTAGTCAAATACCTAGGTTACAAGGTGTTGAACGAGAGAGGTTGCCTTAGGAACTCTGGAGGGTGCTCTAGAATAGTTAGCTAACTGGGGACGGGATAACGGACTAGAGAGAGCTGTTTCCCCCGGCCTCGTTAGTTAACTGGGGGGTGGAATAATGGACAAGATAGAGCTATTTCCCCCACCCCCCGTTACAATGTTGGCAGCGGTGTTGAACAATGTTGTAGGTAGTTGGTGTTCTTTTAACATTGTTCAGTCCCACGTGTCTTTTTGCCGCTCAGGCGCTATCAGGGAGATCTTGACAGGTGTTTTACTTTCGCGATTTAGCGAGTTTTTTTTCAGGCTAGGAGATAGTGATTCTCTAGTGTTGTGGTTTAGTGATTTTGTGAGTTTTGTGGTGTTCAGGGAATGTTCACCAGAACTTGCGTGTGTAGTGATTAATGTTAGTGATAAGATTTGGCGATTTGGGAACTTAGCGGTGTTGGTAGTGCAGGTCAGCTGAGTGTGACAGGTGACCTCGCATGTCCCACGGGGACACCCAGCCACCGCTGGTCTCCAGGTCAGTGGGGAGTGGCAGGTGTAGTTCTTAAGTAGAATTTAGTGGTGGTTCTGCTCAGATTATTGCGATCGACTGTTTTACTCCATTTGAACGCAATAACCCGAGGTGTACTGGTATTGTACAGCATGCTAGGGGGAGGCTTAGTATGTCAGTAGACTTCACGTTGGGGACGCTCGACGTTAGATAGTCTGGTCACAGGGGTGGCAACAGTTTGGAGTTGTTGACCGGCGGAGATGCTAGGGAAACACTCTGGGTCACGTAGGTGGCTGTAGGTTAAGGGTGGGAGTAACGGTTAATTATGTACTTAAGATTAGGAACGGTACAGTTAAGTTTAGGCTAGTGTTTTGTCTATTAGTGTTGATTTTTTTTTGTGACAAGTTAAAAGTAGTGATGACCTTATTCTCTCTTCTCTAACTTTCCTCTGTTACTGTTTTATGTTCCACCAAGTCAGTATCATTCAGAGTTAATTGGATTATTAAAATTTAAGTGTAGTTGTTGCCAGGAGGAGAGCTTATAATTGGACTGTGTGAACCCTATACAAACTACAGGGTCACACAACAAGATGGAACACGGGTATTGTCGCCTTTATGTTCACCCACAGGTGGGAGCCAGAAGAGAGGAGAGACGCACATACAAAAGAGGGAGACGGCTGCTGTGTACCACACTCACGGGCGTTAATCACCACCACCACGACCAGCCCACTACCTGGAGGTCACGGCTCCACCACCACCACCACCCCAGGGGACCCCAAGATGCAGCCCTCTCGGTCGGTCAACATTGGTCTACCCAGTGGACCCCAGGTCGTTCTGCAGACGACCCCAGACGACCCAGTAATGATGGAAGAGGAGCAACAACGACTCCAGTCTGTCCCACCAACATCGGTCTACCCAGGATGGACCCCAGGACGGACAGACCCCCAATGGACCCCAGGTCGCTTGTCTAAGACCCATGGGAGGAGGAAGAGAGAAGAAAGAAGAAGAGAGAAGAGAAAGAAGAGAGAAGAAGGAAGAGAGAAGAAAGAAGAAAGAAGAAGAAGATGATAAGACAAGCTGAGTGAGACACGATGCCTCGTGTCCCTTGCTGGTGTCAGCATCATTGCATGGAGCGTAATTGCAAGACAGGATCGTTTGCCTTAACTGGCCGCCCCTCCTGCAAGCATGTTGCTCTGTTGAGTGATTCAGCCTGTGTCATGCGGACTTGATGTGGCTGTCAGAAGTAGCTCTCTGAAGGAGGCGTGCTGGAGCAACAGGGAGGAAGAAGAGTAGGATGGGATTTCTACTGTTGGCAACTATATGAAGGTCTCGAAACTTGTAGTCCCTATAGCTGTGAAGAACCCCAATATACGTCTCTCATGGTGACTGACGTAGGGCCAATTACAGATCAGCTGGGACAACCGAATTCCACGGTCCTGTGCGCAGTTCAAGTAGTAACGGCTTTCGGGTTGACCAAGGGTTGTTGTGCGTTAACGACGGAGAAGCGACGGAGGCAGTTGTGTTGAAGAAATGTGGTACAGGATTATCTACAAGACCAAGCAGTGACGTCGCCCAGCCAGAGACAATGGACGTCTGTCTACATATTTCATTTTTTTAGAGTAGGATGATGTATATTTGTTTAGCTAGGATGTATTTTTTTTTTTCGTTAATAAAGTTGTTGCACACAGCTAGCTTGCTTTAGCAGTGTTGCAAAAACTTTATTTCGGGGAGAAGGGGAGATGTAACACTGTAAAAGTGTTTGGGTTAGTTTATTTAAAATATATATAGAGTACACGAGTCACAGACAAGGATCTGAGAGGCGCCAGTTGTCTGCCTGAGATCTCACACCTCTAACCGTTAATGACCCCAAGTGACCTGAGGTCAGATCATGATAATTTCACCTTGCTTCCGCTAAGCGTATAATTGGAGCCGGGTAGCCTTCAAACATGCCGACGTTTAAGGAGTGGCTTGGTAGTGCCGGAGGCTATCTACTTGTGGGCGGAGTTAGCTACTAGGTTCCCCAATATAAACTCGGAGAGCTATCCAGCATGGAGCATTAACAGACAGAACAGACAGAACGGCAGTCAGGAGAGCAGAGCAGACGGGAGGCTGTCGGCCGGCAGGGCGGGAGTCTCCGTCAACTACAAACCCCCCCCCCTCTCTATTCAACTTAGACTCAGTCCTCGGTGAGTGAACATTAAGGTGACTTGGTCGTGTTTACATATGTTGTGTGATGATCAGGGGCAGTCAAGTTGTAGGGTTCTCGAATTCTTGGATGATGACTCTCTTTAACATTTTAATTGAATTGCTAAATTATGATACTTCATGGGAAATATAATTATGAATTTATTATTTAAATTGTGTTTAACTTTGTTCCCTAGAGATTTTGAGTTGAGGTGAGAAAGCCTCTGTGGTTACTGGTTTCATGATATTAACGAGTACATGTTTGGAGTTGATACATGGTACAGAGGGAACATACTAATAATGAACTCATGATAACATCTTTTGAGAATTTTGTGATACAGGCAAGTTCCATTCCTTGTCTTGTATGTAATGATCATGAATGGATGGTGGCAGCATTTCGTCTTCTACTATCTACTCTTCTACGTCTACTATCTACTCTTCTACTTCTACCTATCTATTCCTCTCCCTCCACCCCTCTCTAAACTCTCACTTTCAACTAATGACCCTCCTCGCCCCTCCCACCTCTCTCCCTCTCACCCCAAACCCTCACTAATTACTTCACTATTCATTTCTTTCCTTTCGTTTTCTCTTTTACGTTTGTGGCAATGATTCTGTATTCTAGAGTTCTCTCTAGAGTTTCGGGTAACTGATCAAGTGACGGCGCCTTGTAGTCTTAGCACCTAGGTTGTCGAATACCTAGGTTACAAGGTGTTGAACCAGAGAGGTTGCCTTAGGAACTCTGGAGGGTGCTCTAGAATAGTTAGCTAACTGGGGACGGGATAACGGACTAGAGAGAGCTGTTTCCCCCCGGCCTCGTTAGTTAACTGGGGGGTGGAATAATGGACAAGATAGAGCTATTTCCCCCACCCCCCGTTACATCCTCACCATCTTCCATACGCCTATAGCACTCGACAGCAAGGTAAGTAATAACTGGAACACAGTTTTGTAGGTTTATTTAGATGAATTAGGTAAATTAGGTATAAAAATTTAGTTTGATGTGGGGTTTTTGGGGTAGTCAGGAACGGATTAATTCATTTCCCTTTATTTCTTATGGGGAAATTAACTTCGGAATGCGAGTTTTCGGAAGGCGAGGCGTCTCCAGGAACGGATTAAACTCTTATTCTGAGGTATGCCTGTACCCATTTTACCATTGAGTTAAACAGAGGCTACAGTTAAGGATTTGCGCCCAGTAAATCCTCCCCGGCCAAGATACGAACCCATGACAAAGTGCTCGCAGAACGCCAGGTGAGTGTCTTATCACTACACCATGGAGACTGGTAGATTTATACAAGGATTGCATTCATACAAAATACTGTGATTTTCTGAAATCAAAATACTGTGAAAGCAGAGATTTTCCCGACCGTCCAAGTCGTTGGACACAATTCCTTCCCCCCGTCCCATCCCAACTCCTTATCCTGATCCCTTCCAAGTGCTATAAAGTTGTAATGGCTTGGTACTTTCTCCTGATAGTTGTCTTCCCTTCCAAAAGTAGACTCCATAATATAAAAAGCACTTTTCTTAGCAGAAAATTATGCTATCTTAAATAGACAAATAGACAAATAAATAGACAAATAGACAAATCTGTCTAATAAATAGACAAATCTTAAATAGTTAGACATACAAGAATGTAAGAACTCTTGTATATACTGTACTGCACTAAATAAATAAATTAAATAAATAAATAAATACAAAAACATATACTGTATATGCATGAGTTTGGGTTGGTATAAACAGAAGCTGAATAATATGGGCCTACAGTTTTCTTTATTCTTATGTTCCTAAAATAAGTTTTAATGTGCCTACTAGACAGGAACATGAAAAGTTAGGTGGGATGACGCACTCCACCGGGATTGTATTAATTTAACCCCAACACTTTACATAACCCTGCATGGTTATATAAAGTGTTAAGGCATCACTGGAGGGCTTCTTCTTACACTGAATTACCAAAAGTGGCTCAGTTATACACAACGAAGCTCTACGGACAACCCCTTTAGCTACCACGTTACATTGAATGAGGTCCATCACAAATTGTCGGTTCGAGAGGAGCTGCACTGTGCGGGTACCGTCTACATCGTATATTCAGATATTGATCAGTAGCGGAGCTTTTTAAGATACAGGCATACCTCAGAATAAGAGTTTAATCCGTTCCTGGAGACGCCTCGCCTTCCGAAAACTCGCATTCCGAAGTTAATTTCCCCATAAGAAATAAAGGGAAATGAATTAATCCGTTCCTGACTACCCCAAAAACCCCACATCAAACTAAATTTTTATACCTAATTTACCTAATTCATCTAAATAAACCTACAAAACTGTGTTCCAGTTATTACTTACCTTGCTGTCGAGTGCTGTAGGCGTATGGAAGATGGTGAGGAGGGGGGAGGAGGAGAGGAGTTACTGTTTGGAAGGGGAGTCCCCTTCCATAATCACATCACATAACCCCATGCCTTGTAACACTATGGATACCATTCTCTTTCTAAATTTTTCAAACCAGCCCCTGCTTGCCTTAAACTCTTTCTTATCTGCATCACTCGTTGCAGGGGTATTCTTTAGAAGGTCTTCGTGCAACACCCTGGCTTTCTCACAAATAATGGCCTCCGAAACACTATCACCCCTCAACTCCTTGTCGTGTATCCAAATTAATAACAACTTTTCCACTTCTTCAAGTATTTGTGGTCTTTGTGCCGTTAATGTTCTTACTCCTTTTGCCACTTTAGCACCCATAATCTTATTTTTCTTCTTAAGTATAGTGCATATTGTTGATGTGGCTTGGTTGTACTGCCTACAAAGTTCAACAACACGTGTACCGTTCTCATGCTTCCGAATGATCTCTTGTTTCTCCTCTATTGTCATCCTCACAGGAGCTTTCTGGCCTTTATCCTTACCACTGGCTTTCTTGGGACCCATGGTGAGATATATAATAACAAATTGTATAGACAAATCACCAAAAATCCAACAAAACACTGAAAATCCGCGAGAAGAATTGATGTGGGGGTAGTCACTGAGCGCCAGACAATAATAAACTGAGGGGCGGCGGGGCGGAGGGGCGACGAACGCGCTAGGTCGGCTGTACGCGTATCAACAAACTCGCGTCCAAACTCGCCTCCCGAAGTAACCCTCGCCTTCTGAGACAAATTTTTGGAGTAAATACACCTCGCCTTCCGAAAACCTCGCATACAGGGACAATCGCATTCCGAGGTACCACTGTATCTGAAAAGACTGAAGCTGTACGATAAAGCTTCAACCCACATCCCTGAACTCCTCAAGCACATGCACAACCTTATGGCTCAAACTGGGTTTAAATATTGTCTCTGATACATTATGCAATTGTGATTTTATTGTGCTTATTATGATCGAGTAGGGACTTTTAAGAACATGTATCTACATAAGTTTACAAATAAATTAGGCCAATTAACTTACCAACTTGTATCTATTTAAATACCCCCTGGCACTTCCTTATTTCTGGCATTAAAAGAACAGCTAGCATAGTGTGAATTTTGTGTTATCAGAATCCACATGATTTGATGGTTCCCTGCACTATGTATTTCCAGTTCATCTTAAAACAGGCTGTGAAACATCTAGAATGCCAATTGCATAGAACAAGATTTACCACAATCATAAGTAGCTAGTCGTACAAAAAATAAAAATACCTGTGTTGGTGAACATCTGCATACAACAACCGCCGGACACTGCACGGCAAGATCCATCAACTCGTGTTCATAATACTGGAGGCAGGTCTCCAGTGCATCACCCTGCAAAGACGGAAGCTTCTTATGAGGAAGTCCTAGGAACCTGAGAATTAAAGGTCATTTTCTCTCCTCGTTGTAAACATAAACGAGATTGTGTTTTATTGACCTCTGCATCCAGGCTTCTCAAGTACACTTTCAATGCTAACATTTTGCCCTGTAGTGCAGTTATTCTACATCTTCAGCTCACAACCAACGATCTCGGGTTTCATCCCCCAGGTGGGATAGAGACGAGTGGGCATGTTTCCTTTTGTCCGATGTCTCTGTTCACCTAGCAGTAAATAGGCACCTGGGAGTCAGGTTGTGGGTTGAATCCTAGGGAAGGTCAGTTGTTGGCCTAGGGGAGATGACCTTAACAAGCCATAGCACAAGCTACTTGCCCCTTGATAATGAGACTTATATTCCTCTCCCCTTACAACCAAAGCACATTTTTATATTCACATTTGAAGACATTTTTATTCATTTTAAGATAGGATTTCCATTTAAACATTTTATGTTATTAACCAAGAGCTGAACAAATTTCTTCTCTTCCAAATACTTTAAGGAATTTTCTTTGGTGTTGCTGATCTCTTTTATTCCCCTCCTCCAAATGTCATCCACATAAATAGTTCCATAATCACCAGAATAATTATTGATAGCACCACTGCCTACGGAACATCTATCTTCATAATGTTCTCCAGAGAATATTGTGTTTCCACACTTCCGTTCTGCATTCTTAGCTACAATATCTATATATAAATATAAATGCAAAGGTTTGTATTATGTGTCTGGTATGCATTCATAGACCATTGAACAGCATTTAGCATGATGGTAAAGGGATTCCAAGCTGATGCAGGCTAGGGTAAATGATCTTCCTGCTGGCCAGAGAAACTGCAAAAAACCTTCAAAATACACAAGTCTACCCACTGTAATTGTTAGCTATACTTTTTTCTAAGTCTATTAAGCCCAGTTACAACTGTAACAATTTGTATAAATCCCTTATGAATAAAAAACAATGAATCAATCAATCAATTCAAAGACTTAGGTCCTTGAAGGGGGATTCTCAAAACCAGCGAAATACATAATTGGTGGATCTCGGAAGAGTCAGTAATAACAGAGATGATCCTTACTGCATTCGATCTTCGGTCGGATGTGAAGAAGGTGTGTAGGAAAGAGTGTGCAACGTGGTTCTACATCTGGATATAAAGAGTACAGGCCATGAGTACCTACAAGTAGTGAAGACTGTGTACAGTGAAGATCATGTGTATAGTGAGGATTGTCGGTAGTGAAGTTCATGTATACTATAGTACTCACCTAGTTGTGTTTGCGGGGGTTGAGCTCTGGCTCTTTGGTCAGAGTATTATAGATCGCGTGTAGTGAGGACCGAGCATAGAGAAAATATAATGTATCCTGTGAGGGTATGCTGACTTGGGTTGAGAAAGGGAAATTTTGAGGAGGGTTGCGCCCTATTCATCACACAGGCATGTCAATTGACTCTTGTTGGTACTGTTTATATTACAGGTATTACCTTAATAATGAGTGCAGAGTCACTTTTCCTTCTGAGAGCGTTAAGTTCCAAATGAGCTTCTCTTCTTGTCAACACGCTGCCCATGACATGGAGGCCTTGATTAGGTGACACAAGGCGAGAACTCTTTGCTATGCAGGTGGCAGTCTCTAGTTTATCTCCTGTTAACATCCAGATCTGTAATAAACAAAGAAATGTACAACAAATACTACTATATAAGGAAATGGCTACAGTTATTTTAAATGAAAAATACAGGTACATGCCTTAAAAAGAATAAAGTGATGAGTGTAATGAAATGCTCATTTCTGTGATGCACCTTAATAGCTAGGCACTTTACTTAAACTCCATTCCAGGTTCCCAAAACCTGGCAAATGGCTATGTGGAGGTGCACGAAGCCAATGGAATAAGAAGCGTCACTAGCATCACTAGCATAGCATGCCTCAACTTACATCACTGGCACACACAGGCCAATGTGAACAACACCAGGCTTCCAGTGACAATCTCAACAATCCAGCAATCTTGTCCGCTACATGTGACAAGGAGCTCATGGGGATCCAAGATCAATCGCCCTACCAAGATGAATTGCTCAAATCAACAGACAAAAAACCTAATCCACCTCTCATATCGTAAATTTACAAGAAACTTGGGTAAGCTCCCATTGCCACACCCCCATCAGGAGGGAATCCAAAAACACAGAATCACTAGCTTAACAGCAAGCCACCGAGACAGTGAGGCTGGGTAAGAAATGCCTACACTCACCCAGTAGTAGTCTAGCTGGCACTTGGCAATCTAAAGAAGTTCCAAGAATCATTTAGAGTTGAATGGTTTGGGATGCTCTTTGGTCCTATAGTGAGCAGTTTTTCTCAGTGGTGGATTGAGATACTGGTATTGTGCAGGCAATAAGTCACAATAACGTGGCTCAAGTATGATGACCAGACCACACACTAGAAGGTGAAGGGACGACGACGTTTCGGTCTATCCTGGGCCATTCTCAAGTCGATTCGACTTGACTTGTATTCTCAAGTCTATTCAACTTGAGAATACTGGTATTGTGCTTCATGCCTATAGACTACAAGCCACGATTATTTGCAAGGTTACTTGTTTTGGGGTATCAAAGCTACCCGCAGCTATGCCTCTAAGAAGCTATTGATTGGGTCTTGCTCAAAATTAATACAAAATATTATTCCTGTGAATACCATAATGAATACCTAACTAAATAATTTACTATATACCAATTACACTTGTTATCCAGATTATTAACATCACCTGTAATTCCTACTACTACCTCGCTACAACCCACCACTAGACCAATACTGATCCACTGCTGGATGTGATGTGTGGGTGGAACAACACTGGCTTAGGTGTGGTAGCCATAATGTACAACGTGTTTTGTAATGTCTCTTAAGTAGCCATTTTCATTGTCAAGCCATACTTTTAAAGAGGTGTGAGTTGTAACATATTTTGTCATGTTTCTTTAGATAAGTTTGGGAAAAACATGATAACACTCAATAAACCAGCCAAATACATCACGCCAACAATGGTAGATTTTACCTTAATTCCAGCATTTCTTAGCAGCTCAAGTGTTTGCTTGACATTGGTCTGCAATTTGTCTTCAACTCCCGTAAGACACAACAGCTCCAAGTCACACTCCAGACTCTCCACAACTGCAGCTACTCGGCTACCTCTCTCCGTCACACTCAACTTGGCTGCTGAATATCGTTGCTGCATTGTGGAAATAAGACGCATCATTAGAGCAGTAGTGACAATAATGTGAAATTGTTTTCCCAATGTGAATTATTTAATAAATTATAAATAAAATAAATTGTAGCATTTCTTGTAAATATTAATGTTCCCCTCAAAGGGTCCCCTTAATGGGTCCACTTAGTGGGTCCACTTGGCAGGTCTCCTAGGTCGGTCCCTTTGCTGAGTGGACTCAGTAGGTCCCACCTCTGTGGGACCCTGGGCTAGCTCCAGACAGCCACCAACCCTCTCAGAAACGTAAAATGAACAAAATCACAGCAAAATAGTTCCATAGATGATGGTACATAACCAGACCACAGTAGTGCATGAGATATAAATAAATTTATATTTATTTATAGTTATATAAATAAAACAATGAAAAATGGATAATGGAACTAATATTGTTGAACGGTAAGAAAACATTGACACACAGATGGGCAATTCTGTGATTACTGAAAATTGTGGAATTATAACAGAAACCCATCACAAGGGTACTTCAATTGCTTGCATCAGATTATGTCAAATTACTTCCAAATCTCTTCGACTAAATAACAAAAATTACAAGTTCTATCTTCTGTGTTTACCAGTGCAAAGGATGCATGTTTTTTTCACCAACAGCCAAATATATATTGTGCTATACAAGCACAAAATCATAAAATAATAATAAAAAAAAATCACTATTAATTTATGTGTGATAAAATATACTAAAATTGCTTTTTCCACAAGATATCCTTGTAAAATAGGTGTGTCGCATATGCCAGCAAATACAGTACACTGCACTTGCCTAATTCAAATACGAATTAATGTGATCTAATAATTCACTAGGAAGTTTAATAGACAACAATTATATTCAACATAGGAGACTGGTATACTGATAACATATGAAAGGCAATACATTATACATTAACATGCCATTGTCGTACCTCAAAATGCATATACTGTTCTGCGGTGAGGATTTTACGAGCCACCACAAGGGTACGAAGGCCCTTCTGAGCCAAGTTGATACACTCCTCTTCCAGCCAGTCATTATACTCTACCATGGAGGCCATCACTGTATCTGCTCCTTTCATGTAAAGAACTATTTCACCTGTTGATTCCTCCTGGTAATATAAAAACAAGTAAGTTCAAAATGCAGAGGGTATATATATAAAGTATATGAAGTATTGTTCTGAAACTGCTCAAGCCTGTGATATCCAACTTCCAGTAAAAATCAGTATTAATGTCAGGACCTAAATATGACCTCAAAATTCTTGCAGAGAAGCCTCAAGTAATCTAGGTTCTTATCTTAACAATGAAGCCCATATCATCTCATCACATTGAAGCTTATTCTATCCCACCTTCACAATAATGCCCATTCTTTCTCATTTTCACAACTTTTGACATTCTTACCATCATAATGGTATTAATTCTTTCTTACCTTCACAATGATGCCCATTCTTTTAGATTCCGAGGTGAAAGGGAAGATCTGGAGGACAGTGTAGGCGAGGTGTTTACCAGCTGGCGTCCGTAGGGTCAAGGTTGTGAGGTCTCGGTGTACCAAGGGGAGGCCTACAATCTCGGTCCACCGCACAAGAGAGACCTGCAAGAAATGTATTTTCTTATTTCTAATTCTAGTAATGAATAGTGAATTCACTGATTATGTCAAGCACTCAAGTGTAGTTTCAAGTCTACAAAAAATACAAAACTAGAGTGTGTACCCAAAAATGCCAAAGTCAGCTCACTAAATTTAATACTGTATTGCAAAATGACACATACTCCAGGAAATAGAACATATATTACAAGCAAATTGACAGGAATTGACCAGAAATAAAAACATGAAGACCTACAAAATGAAATCACAATACTGTATCATTATAAATCTATGACAAATCTTTGGAGCAGAAGTCACAATCAACTTGAGAATGATCCAGGATGGACCGAAACGTCGTCGTCCCTTCACTTTCTAGTGCGTGGTCTGGTCAACATTTTTCAGCCAGGTTATTGTGACTCATCGTCTGCACATAAATTTAGTGTCAAAATGTTCGCAAATGATTTGTCTAGATAACAGATTAAAAAACAATAGTGTATTTTTAATATATTATGCTCCTCTCGACACGTTCTTAACTGTAAACATGACGGGCTCGGCAGGTCCTGGTCAGTGATGCTTAAAAATTTAATAATCTTTTCATGTTTTCTGTTATTTGTTGGGTTATAACTATAAATTTGGTATCTAAATGTTAACAAATAAATTATTTAGAGAACAGATGCAAAACCAAAAGTATATTTACTGTATAATAGATTATGCATGACAGTAATGAATATACAAATGTTTATGAATAGCAAACAGATGATGCATTCTAGCACCATCAGGACACAAAATTATTAATGAACTGCCCCTTTTAATATACAATATATGAACATACAGCAAAGTACTGCCATCTAGCAAATGGTCTATATTATCAGCTCACAACCAATGGACCCGGGTTCAATCCCTGAGCAGGACAGAAATGCTTGGGCAAGTTTCCTCTCACACGATGCCTCTGTTCATCAGCAGTAAGTTAGGTACCTGGGGAAATAAGCTGTTATTGTGGGTTGAATCCTGGGAAGGTTAGTGGCTGGCCTAGGTGGACCTTGATTAGCCTATTGTAGCCTTGATCAGCCTAAGTACAATCATCCTATCCACAACAATGGGAATTATTATTATTATTATTATTTCCAAATTATATCAACACACCTCATCAGGGCTGGCTGCCTGATACACGACACTGTTTATCGTCTGAATGTCTTCAGTTTCCTCAATGGCTAAGTTTGCACCTTCCTCGTATACTGGAGTCACGTTATGGCAGAGTGCAAGAGCCTTTACGGCCTCCCCTACACGAGTCACAACAGTTTTTCTCAAGCGTGTAGGTGTGGAAGATGTTCCTGTGCCACTCATGTCTTTGCAGAAGAAGGTTTTCACATGAGATGAGACCTGAGAACAAATACTGTTGGTAAATAGAAGCTCTCTATCCACTGGCAATTACAGAAGAAAAAAAAGAGGTTAAATGTTGCTGACTCATGTCTTACAAGTAAAGACATGATACTAAAATACTGATTCATTAATAAAATAGAGAGTACATACAGTAGTTTCATTTTAGCTCTGACAAAGAGTTACGGAAAAAAACGAGCTTTCTCCAAATAATTGTGATGGGATAATGAGGCTCTCCAAATCTAATCTGCAGTTGAATGTTTAGAAAACATTTGCATCCAATACCACTTCATTTTTATTTAAGCCACTTAACATAATCTCATGAGAATCCCCAAGAAATATTCTGAAAGACTTATCATAAAAAAAGTAAAATGTTAAACGAACAATTACCTCATCAAATGTGTCCGTCCCATATGCCACAGTTCCAAGATGAAGAATTTTAAACACCATCTCATTCTGAGTGAGAGTACCTGTCTTGTCCGTGAGTAAGTATGTGAGACGACCAAGCTCTTCGGGAATAGTTGTAGAGCGTACCACAGTTCCTTGCATATCTTGGTCACGTTGGATCACCCAGGAATAGAAGGCTTTTCCTACGTCTAAGTTCACCCTCAAACTGAAACAACAAAACTTTTGAAGGACTAAATGATAAGATTGACAAGAATATTCATACACAATTTAGAAACAAGTTTCCAAAACTAAAACTGAGTTTTAAGTGAATATAAAAAGCTCCTTTCTGAGCTGAATGTTCAAATGCACACTAAGAGCATAAGAGTACGAGAATAAATTAAACTATAGCAGGCCTATTGGCCCATATGTGGCAGCTCCTGTTTAGATCCACCCAAACTCGTTCACATATGTGCCTAACCTACGCTTGAAACAATCCAGGGATCCCACATCTATTATATTACCCAGTAATCTGCACCAGTACTCAGCAACCCTTGCTCCACTCCACTATTTACCCAGGTCTTTCCCAAATATAAACCTATTCAATTCATAACTATTGTAAAGTCATTCCTGGTTCCACTGAACATGATCATGCCAGTCAAGGGTGCTAAGGCTGCACAAATCACCAGACCTTGGCAATCTGTGTTTAACAATTCTAGCACAAAAAGCATCGAATCAAACTAAACCCCAAAAATGTCAAGAGGCCATGCAACTATACTACAGTAACATGTTAAACTTTAAAGAATATCTAACAAGAAACAGTTGAAATAAAATAAAAGATTTTGCTTAACATGACTTCATGCTTCTAATGAAAATCACAAGAAAAGTATTTGTTTGATTGTCAAACACCAATATAAATTGTATATTGTATATGATTGTTTTTATTGTCACCCTGCAGTATAAGTCCCTAAACTGTAGAATGACACAAGGAGTAGATATCTACAAAGGTGCTTTATGGATAAAAAACCAGCGTTGAATGTAATGAAATGCCATTTTCTGGGCGAGTCTCGGAGGCTCACCCAGAAAAAATCATGTAACCAATGCACAGTACCTCAGAAACCCAAGCACTATGGTTCGAACAACTTAAAAAAGTAGTGAGAAGGTAACTTCAAACCAACTGAAAAGGCCACCAAAGAACTTTGATCATTGATATCAAATCTTAACATACTTGTTTTCTCTAGAACACAATCTGACAATTGGTTTACAATCAGGTCCCCATTTATTGCTGGGTGAACAGGGACAAACAGTTGAGGATTGGTGAATAGTCAATCCTCCCTGCCCAAGGCTCAAATCCTGATGAATCCAGTCATGATAATTAGGGCAAGTGTGATACCACTACATCAAAGAGACTGGGTTTTGGATTGTTAGATACAATATATTGTATAAACAAATCCACAAGGGCCGTGACGAGGATTCGTATTGTATGTTACTGTAGGAATACCACAAAATAGTATTACTGTATAAGGAAGGTGGGTATAATATAGATCATAATATATATGTTTATATTGGTGAAAATGTTTTACAAATGATTTTCTGGCTGAATGCCAGAGCTCCACTGGTTGAGTCGGGTGAGCCCCGGCAAGTGCTACAAATTATGCCATCTACATATCCCAGTTAATATCTCACTAATTACTGCAGGTATTAACTAGTTTGTGGTAAGTGGATTGTACCTGGATGGGGTTCTGGGAGTTCTTCAACTCCCCAAGCCTGGCCTTGGGCCAGGCTTGACTTGTGAGAGCTTGGTCCACTAGGCTGTTGCTTGGAGCGGCCCACAGGCCCACATACCCACCACAGCCCGGTTGGTCCGGCACTTCAAGAAAACTACAGTATCTAGTTTTCTCTTGAAGGTGTGCATGTTTGTTTCGGCAATATTTCTTTTACTGTACTTGCTGGGAGTATATTGAACAACCGTGGATATCTGATGTTTATTTTATATACAAACATACCCTCATTCTAGTCATACTATAGATGTATCCTTAAATTAAATTAACTTTTTTTTAAAAGTTAATTATGTATCAATTTGAAGAAAAAAAAATGTTCTTAGCAGGACGAAGACCAGCGGCTTCACCGTAATCATATCTGCTAGGAGAGTGTGCTTTTTTAAATCTACTGCAATGAGGTGCAGTACAGAATGGGGGCACAAGGGATCTGATTCAGGATGTCCAGGCCTTCTGGCAATAGTACATGGAAGACTGATAAAACAGGTGCCACTTTTCCAAAGAAAACATGGCAAGCAGTAATCAGGTCGCACAGCTAGAAAATGGAAACAAAATCAAACTTGAACAGATCCAGTATCTGAGAGGCACAGCACAGATAAACTATATGAAGTTAATATATTACAAAACCCAAGATATAATTTTTAATGCACCTTAACCCCTGCACTGCTCACCCATTTTCGGCAAAAATGTTTTGGTGCAATTCTCAAGGATATATTTTTGTTATTTTTATAATTGTTCAGGTAAAGTTAATGTCAAAATGTTTCCAAAGTCAACTATTTCCATTTCAAAACACAAAGAGTAATGAAAACATTTAAAAGTATTAAAATATAGCCTAATTAAAAAACAAAAAGCACAAATCTCAGAGCGCCTAAAGGCGCTTTGCGCAGTGCAGTGGTTAATGCTCAAAAGTTCTTACCTGATTGGTATGATGTACGAGAAGAGAAGCATGAAGCGGAAGAAATAACGATACCAGGGACCTCCAAAGCCCTTTAGACACATCATCACTACAGTCAAGGCCAAAACTGCCACAAACAAAAGCTGTTGAGCAAAAATAATTAATGCCATTATCTGTAATATATAATGAACTCAATAATTTGATAAAAATGCAGAAAAACAAAATTGAAAATTCCTCAGATTTGTATCGGTACATCAAATAAGAATACTATAATTATATAATAATAAAAGAAAAGGTCGAGAACAAAAACATCATTTCTGGGCAAGACCGCCTATGTCACTTCCTGAGCCAAGACCTGAACTAGGCCCGAAAGGTAGGAGCGAGACAATGCAGTCAAGAAACGTGAAAGTGGTGGAAGTATCGCCACCAAAACGACAACTTGTATGCCATGAACTATGTACTATATCAAGTGCTGCACATGTAAATCTAACCCCACACATACACTCTTAGAATTTTGGTGCTCAACCTGAATTGTGAAGCAGCAAAAATAGTCCTCCAAATTTACACAGACATAGAGCAGACTGTCCTTCTAACCTTGAATTTTCCTGAAATGAGGAATATTAAAAGATCTACCTGAAATGGGGAATATTCATAGATCTGCATGAAATGAGGAATTCATCAATCTGCATGAAAAGGGGAATATTTATCAATCTGCATGAAATGAGGAATATTCATAGAGTATGAATTAGGAATATTCAAAGTTCTACATGAAATGAGAATTATTTACTAAGTTGACCAGACCACATACTAGAAGGTGAAGGGACGACGACATTTCGGTCCGTCCTGGACCATTCTCGTCGTCCTTTCACCTTCTAGTGTGTGGTCTAGTCAAATTACTTTAGCCACGTTATTGTGACTCATCGCCTGCATTATTTACTAATTTGCATGAAATGAGGAATATTCATAGATCTGCATGAAATTATGAATATTTATAGACATGTACAAAATTATGATTTTGACTTTAATTTATTACAATGCAGTAGGTACTGCAATTCATTATTGCTGAAAAGTAATTTCGTAACAGCACAAAATATATTTAACTAAACATATCAGATAAATACTAGCAATCATAATAAACAATTTACCTTCGTGAGATTATTGATTTCCAGATCAAGCAGACCAATTTTTGATCTGGGTGCAGCGTTGTTCATGACGGAGCGGGTCTCGGCTCCTGTGTATACCACCAATCCTAGTAGTGTTCCGGAGGCCACGACTGTTCCTGCCCAAACTGTGTTCTCCACGGTCAGTGCCTCTTCCGTATCTGTATCATGCTAAGTGAAATAATACATTGTTTAGATTACGCACGCAAAACAAAACAAAAACCTGCTAAGCATAATAGAATGCTCCAGTCCATGCTGGAACTCTCAGATGCTCTGAGAGCTTATATAGGCCATCCAGAACTCTTATCCATCCATATCTTGACAGGGAACTATGGTAATGGTCCTCTCATGAGTGTTCTGAACCTTAAAGGGCAGAAATCAACAGTAAAAGAGGTCGGTACACCCTCAAGTGTGCTCTATAAGACAACTCATGATAGGATAAAGTGTTAGTGGTGAGAGGCGGGCCCAAAGAGTCGAAGCGCAACCCCCACAAACACAACTAGAAGAGTACAACGAGATGAGTACAAACTTACCAAAACTACTGTACTGTAATGTCAACACCTCGGCTAGCTAAGCAAACTGACCACCAGAAACAGCTATGAAACCTCAGGGGAAACAGAAGAAGACTACCAACACAACCTAGGCTTGCCTAATAAGAAGCTAAGCAGACGACCTCCATCTAAACAAGGTGAGAACGCCAGTGAACGAAAAGAAAATGAAAACAAATCCCCCCGAAGACACACACTATCAAATTCATAATAGCACCACTAGCAAGGATCCCTGCCATGATGGAGATATAAACTAAGAAAGCCTGACAGGTGATGTGTGTCTTGGGTAGGATCAAATAGGTTTAGGCTCAGGAAGAAATAAAATTAGCAGTCAGAGAGAAACATCGGCTGCTGCGTTGAAGTAAAGCTAGCCGTGCCAGCCACAGTACGCCCCACCCAGCCAATAGCACTCCTCTACCCGGGACAAGACAGAAAGCCCTAGACCCCCGACATACCCCCAAGGGCGAAGACAACACCAAGCGATGAAGTTCTCAAATGGGAAGTGATTCCCAAATGCCCCAGGGAAAATAACCCTGACACACAAGGACATTACCCTGTACTCACGGAGCATCTATGGAAGGTCACCCTAGGCGCATGCTGCTCCTGTGCACTAAGACACTTTGCCACCACACCAATGCACAGTTGGAACAGAGACACAGAGCAAAAATCCAGAACAAGAACTTGAGGCCCAAGGTGACTGATCTGACCACTCGCATATCAGTTCAAGAACTGGAGTGGTGGGCTGCTGGCTCCCCCTCCTCCCCGGTAGCGCTAACGAGTGGAAGTGCTAGTCACATTTAGAGTTCTTGTTTGGTTTCTTTCGATTTGCCTACTTTTCTGGGTCCTTTCCCAGTTGATGGCAATTATGACATACTTTAAATGTAAAGTGCTCATAGGCCATTGCTCCCTGTGCCTCTCTGAGGGGACCAGACTCTGGCTTGTGATTCCCAGTATGCATAAGAACTCCTGTGACTGATGACCCCAAACTAATATAGCACATATCAGTTCGGATAGCTTCATGGAGCCGATGGGGCTCCCCACAGAAAAGCTGTTAGATGTCTCTGCTCGCAGTTTGACATATAAAAATTCATAATAATTCATTGTGGCGGGGGACAGGAAGCCAGAGTGTGTTCATACATATTAAGCTTATATCAAGGTCCTCCCCACCACAAGGTTGAATTACTGACCTTGTCCAGGATGCAACCCCACAACAAGCTGATTACCTCCCGAGTATCTACTTACTGCTAGGTGAACAGAGGCATTAGGTGACAGGAAATGTGCCCAACCATTTCTGTCCCCACCCAGAATTCAAACCTGGACTTCTCGATTGTGCGTAGAGAACAAACCCAGCTGTACTACAAAGTACAGCCCGGTTTTGCATCACAGTGAGCTAGTGCGCTCGATGATGGCCTGACTTAGATTCACAACTACCCCTCTCCTTTGCTTGAAATGCTGTACATATTAATGGCTTTAGGCATAAAATATACTACTCTATCTAGAAATCCAACATCCTGCTTGTTACTAATTATATATGTATGTATTTTTTCCAAAATAAACATTATCATTATCAAATTCACAACAGCACCACTAGGAAGGATCCCGCCCATGATGGGGATAAAAGCTAAGAGAACCTGACAGGTGGTGTGTGTCTTGGGTGGGATCAAATAGGCTTAGGCTCAGGAAGAATCTGAGGGGCTGTAGTTCAGAAATAGCCATTTCTAAAGGAAAAATTTAGCAAGTGAGGTTTGTGAAAAGGGTTAGGGTTTATTAAGTATTTTAGTGAAACCTGACTTTGAATGATATTTTGATGAGACATTTTGATGAGACTTTAAATAATTAAAATATTAATTATTTTGTTGCATTTCTAAAAATGATATTAACTCAGAAAACATGGACATTATAGGATGTCATAATGCAGTGTTTATGTTTTTTTTTATTTCTAATAGTTATCATGTATATATATATATATTTTTGTATATATACAAGAGTTCCTACATTCTTGTACAGCCATTAGCGCACACAGCATTTCAGGCAAGTCGTTAATCCTAATTTTCACACACACACACATCCCCAGGAAGTAGCCTGTAGCAGCTGTCTAACTCCCAGGTACCTATTTACTACTAGGTGAACATGGGCATCAGGGTGAAAAAAAACTCTGCCCATTTGTTTCCGCCTCCGCTGGGGACCGAACCTGGACCCTTAGGACTACAAACCCCGAGCGCTGTCCACTCAGCCATCAAGTCCCCTTAATATTATTTATTTTGTTGCTATCATCATAAATCTTCTTTCACAGATTCTGTTGACTTAACCTTCACCTGAAACAATTTAATCTAAAAAATATTCCTCATTTTAATCCAATGTGACATACACAATCTTTACCTTTTTGAGTGGTTTTCAAACTAACTTTATCCCAGATCTCTTCAAAATGTCATTCAAAGTCAGGTTTCACTAAAATACTTAATAAACCCTAACCCTTTTCACGAACCCAACTTGCTAAGCACCTTATCTTCTAAAATTGGCAGACTTACCTTTGTGAATGTACCAATGAAGTTATAAATATCTTTTTGGGGCTTTTCAGCATATACAGTCGCATCCATTTGAAAAAGTTCTTCATTTGTGTCCAGTTTCTGTGTTACGGGGACAGCGAGCCGCAACTTCCAGTCAGTTTCCCCATCCAGCTGGTCCGTGCGGATGAAACAGGTGCCGCTAGTTTCAGTTGTCCGTAAGAACACCATATCAGCTGGCACACGCTGGTCCTGTGAAGAAATTATTACATTCAACTCTATAAGGCAACCAGAACGCAACTCCATAGTCTCCTATGATTGACGGATGCCTACTACTAAGGTATATATATATACGTGTATACTTTTGATGGGACATCTTAGCTTATTTATTATGTACCCAATACCTATACTATGGGCAGTAGTGGAAAAGGTTCCAGAGGCACATAATGGGTTTGGGCACTGAACCTCTTATTCTCTTATTGCTGCCAGAAAGTACTTTGGTTTACTGCAATCTGTGATATTAATATACTGTATAACTGAATGAATAGTTCCTTACAAAGCAGGATGAGCAATACACTAGAAATGAAATGGTAAAGAAAATTTAATTATCAAATATCACTACAATAATATGATTAATAATAACACAGTACTAGTATCTTTATACAGAAAATGATCTTACTTTCTCAACAAATATCAAATCGCCAACTTTGATATTTGCACTGGTGACTGTTCTCTGCCCTCCGTGAGGGGTCATGCGCTTGTATTTTTGCTGATTTACTTCTTTGTCCCTCTGTCGTCTACGAACATCGTCAACTGCTTCACGAGTCATTGTCACCAGTATGACAAAGCCCTGAAATGAGACGGACAGTACAGTAGTGTAATATGGGCAGCTTCAGGGCTATTTTTCCATTATGTTATTCACACCGTCCCTTCCACACCCATCTCATTGTTTTTTCTCTCCGAGAAGCATCTCTTGCTTCGTTATCAGTATTCATCGGCACTTTGTTGCTGTATTTCAAGTAATCTTACATTTTCTATTCTTAATTTTGCAGACTCATCTTTTACTTATCATTAAACCTAAAATTTCCTAATAACACCATGATATTTTGTATTTTGTCCTGATAACCTTTCCACTATATAATATGCTGTGTGTATTAGTGGCTGATCCTACTAATTAACTACTGTAACATGTTCCTATACAGTATATATTTTACAAATAAAATGATTATTATTGTTTTTATAATTGCATTATGCCAAGGCCAATCTAAATTTGTACATAAACACACTCATCACACCTTCTTCGCTCTAGGTTACCGATGCATGTAACTGACAGACATACTTGTGACACGTCACCATTTTACACAACACTTACCAATGGCCCCCAATACGTATACAAATATCCAATACGAAGTTCTGGAATGAACTGAGATGTGGCCATCACAAGGAAATACAAATTCAAGAATAGCTTGAACTGCTCAAAGAGAACCTGAAAAGATAACAATATTAGTACAGTAGTACAGTTATATTATAAATGTAAAACTTATAACATTTATATTCAGCATACCATATTATTAATACATTTTCAACTTCTTTTTCAGCAATACATTAAAATATCATTCACAAAAAGCTGTGATATTTATACTTCTTAAATGATAAGCCAGAAACCTTTAAAAGAAACACGTGAATATACAGGTACTTTTATTGAGTAAGGCACAATTGTCTAACATCATGCTCAAACCTGTCATTCAAAAATAATTACACTTATAACAACCACTTGTTGAATGGACAAAAAATCAACCGGTGCACCCAAAAAGTTCACAGTTTGTACAATTAATTTTGTAGAGGGCACGAGAAAGACGGCAACAACCAACCCTAAACCTTCTTAGGTGTAATTAAGGACAAATATCTGATCAGCCTAAGATGGTGTACATTAGGTTGAGGATTGCTTATTTAGGCCTAAGACAGATTAGGTTCATTTCTATAGTTACTGTTCCACTTGTTAGAATCCCATTTGGGCTATTCCAATATTTCAAAAGTGTGAAATTTGTGGGTATAACAGACCATTTTTGCACATTCATCCAATAATTGTTATAAGTACAATGCTATGTATTATTTTTGGAGGATGGGCTGACTTTTTCACACAACTGTATAACTAATTCAGTGTTTTCATGATAAAACTTACCAGAGGGATAAAGGAGAAGAAATTAAACTTCTGATTACGAATGACATTTGGAGGAAACTTCTCTGATGTTGGGTGCCCAATCCGTACAGATCTCGCTGCGAGCTGACGACGACGCATGCAGCAGCTCACCATGCTCTCACATAACCTAGTTCATGAGTAAAACAATTGTTGAATGTTATGAAATAGGACAACCTTTTAGAATATTATTATTATTCTTTTCCTGCCTACCTTTCTAGGCACATATTAATCATTACAATGCAATTCCAAAGTTTCATAATACAGCATTGTACTGTATACTGAAGTTCACATTACAAATCATAAGAAATAATAACGCTAGACACATCCAGATGCCAAAGTTAAATCAGATCAAGTAAACATGATTCACTTCTATATTTTCCCACACAATTTATTTCCTTATAAGCTATTTCATCTCTGAGAAGTGCCAAACTCCATTAACTATTGATGCTCTCATACACAATTCAAACAATATTTTAATAATTTATATTTACAACCCTATTAGATTTTCAATTTATAATTCCCACTCAATCCTGTACATATCACTGAAGTGAAATTCTGCGTTCATGTTTTTCTCCTCCTGTAATATATATTAAACAAAATTACACAGTTAACCTGTTTGAACAGACAGGTTCATACCCCGGCCCCTTCCGCTGCAACCAGTGTCCTTGCACTGGGAAGTTTTCTGTTTTTAAGAAATTTATACCATACATTGTTGCAAATGATAAAACACACTTTGGCACAGATTTTAATACTAAAATCAGCCAATAATGAAAATAATGAATTGAGAGGATTGAAAAGCACCTTTCTGAAGAATGCCTCAGTTGCTTTCCATGCCAAGTTCAATGTCCACCCAGAGCAATCACACATGCCCGGCCCGAGGCATCAGCTGGGGCTGCAGTCTAGGTTCTGCTTTGCTCTTTTTTTATCTAGGTTCTACGCCTGAACAGTACACGCCTCTGGTGTGGAGGAGTTGTGTCTCCAACTGTTCAAAGATGGTATTTCTTTTTTCATGCCTAGCAAACCAGTTAACCAATCCAATGGTGAAGAATAATGTTCAAGTGCTACAAAGATTTGCTGTCTCACCTTCCTGCTGCTGATGCTAGGAGGTTTCAAGTCATTTTTTGTCCTGAGGAATGGAGACTGCTTCTGACTTGAACCCAGCTCTATTTATGTAAAGTTTGACTTTTTTCTCCCAGTACCAGCATCCCACTTCCTAATGATGAGCAGGCATACCTTCCTTTTCTGTGGGCAAATGGTGGCTGTTCTGTTGGTCCCAGCTGTGTACCAGGCTCCTGCTTCCTAAAGGTAACAAAGCACACCTTATTCTGAGAATAAGTGGTGGCTGTTATATTGGTCCCAGGTGCTCAAATGACCAAGGTCTGCAACTCGCTCTTCCTTCTTGATGGGAGAAGCTCGTGGTTATCATTCTATACCAAATGCTTTGGTTGGAGTCTCTGGTGGTCATTTCACTGTGTGAGTGCAGTTGCTTCGGGTATTATAATACAGTATTGCACGATGCCCATATCTCATTGAAAAATCTGGGACGGTATGCAAATTACATGGTATCTCACGTGCACCATTATGATGCAGTGAGGACGGAAACGTTTCCCCTGCACCAGTGCAATGTCAACCTGCCCTGACTACGTGCATAAATACCAATCCACAGAGTTCGGTAGGCACTTGCCGCAACCAAATGAACTGTACTGGTCAGGAAAGATTTTATTTTGCACTGAAACTTGATTTTTGTTTAATATCATTCAACTTTGCTACAGGTATAGCATTTTCACAACTGGGAAAATCAACTGGAGATCTGAGATGACTCGAACCCTTGACCGAGAGAATCCCAGCTGCTGACGCTAACCACTGAACTACCCTGACTTGGTAAAAGTCATGCAACCGAATTTCTACTGAAATCACAGATAGTCTGAAGGTGACATCAGTAGAAATCCAATTTTATAAATTTTATCAAGTCAGGGTGGTCCAGTAGTTAGTGTCAGCAGCTGGGATTCTCTCGGTCGAGGGTTTGCGTCACCTCAGAGTTCCTGTTAATTTCTCATTGATATATCATATAAGTATAATTTCTCTGTGTATTTTCACAACTGCTAACTCTGCTAACAGTGTCTTAAAAGAGTCTACTTTGCTCAGTTGCAAACCTATATGATTACTGAATTATTATTATTCACATTAACATACATATCAAAGAGAAAATAAATTGGAGCAATGCAATGACTCGAACCAGCGATCTGGGTACTCCCAGCCATGCACCTTACCCCCTTTTATTATTATTATTTATATTACTATTATTTTACTTCCTGCCTAAACCTGTATGTTTATGCTTAGATTAGTCATAAAATGACCTCATTATAACAATCACCTACCGTGCAAAAAAGTTTCGTATGCAGAAAGAAAGACAGCACAACCGTTGTGTTCCTGTCATTTGGAATGTACGAGTGTCTGTGTCTGTATCAGACAGTAAATACTGCGATTCATCTGCTTCAAAATCCCCATCCACAGCAGCATGCATCATTATACTCCCCAGCGTGACGGCTGCTTTTTCTGAAAACACAAGAATAGTTATCATACAAGAGTATTACACTACAGTATATACATTCAAGTATTTTTCGCTACAAATACCTAACAACTACTTAAGCAAAAACCACACACACAACCCGTAAAAATCATGTTAACTCAACAAGCTTAGCCTCAGTAATAGGTATAGAGAAACAAGGCATTTTAACATATAATCACTATTTCCATGCAAGGTAACCTCAGTTTCCAATGTTTTTCCAGCAGATCAGCATCAAATGGTGTGTTCAAACTATTACAATTTTATTAAGTCCCATCTCTCCCTAGAAACCCAGCATGTACTGTACTGCATTTTGAAAATGCTTTTAATTATAGATATTCAATATATTCAACAACATAATCAACTCAAAACTCTTTGATGGCTGCATATGGTATGACTTGTTTGAGATAAGAATGATAGATTTAAAATTTGGTGAATTTAATTCTATCTCCAATAATGAAACGAACATGCCAGAAGTATGTGCTTGTACAACAATAGTTAACTGCATTGACAAATGACTTTAATAGTTTACCTTGATGGTAATAATGACTCGTAGAATAAACCTACTTTACCACCCTGGTGTGAACGCAACCCGTCCTCTCGAATAATACATCACATCGAGGAAAATAATATCCAATGGCCAAAATATGGTATAAATCATAGTGGCTCTCAAAACAACCACATTTTCAATTCATGGGGGGGGGGCCACTGGTTAGGTAAGATTAGGTTCGGGCAATTTAGTGCATCTTTTTTGTGACTTTTTTGTGACTTTTTGTGCATCTTGGCAACCCAAGAGGAAGGGCTGTTTAATGATACAAAAATGTTAATAAGCAACATTTAGTACACAGGAGATTATATCAGATATGAAAAAGAGGCATTGTGATGAACGTTAGTAGCGTAACAAAGCTAGCTAGTGAAGTGTGTTAGTATTATAAACACTATTTACAACAGTTTATCGTCCAAATTATTTGACAAAACAGGCAACACAGCTACTAAAATTCCGTTGTGCTCTGCCGGCCTCAGTAGCACACATTAAAGCATAGCACCACGATTCATACAAAACCTGAACTGTAACAGCTCCCTTTAAGCCTTGTTATCCACACCACCAAAACCTATTAAATTCACAGATTGTTACCCCCATAATCAGAACAGCCATGGGCAACTGGAGGGTTCCAATGATTTTCTCAGCTCTTCTGTAGTCTCTCCAACTTCAATATCTGCCAAGAGACCTTTGACTTTTATCATTTAAAAGTATTATAATTACAATAGTCTACTAATTAATATAGTCTGAATAAAGAATTTATGTAAAATGTATTCAGCAATGAGCTAAGGAATGCAAACAACATGGTGGCTGCAACTAATATCAAGCAGTTCTGTACATTTCATTGGTGTGAGGATACAATTATTAAATATTAAAATGATTACGTTCCTATCCATTAAAGTTGTTAATATGCTTTGCATTACCAGGACAATAGCTGACCACTGCAGATTCAAGTAATGTAACAGAGTATTACAGCATGCCCTTGCTATTCATAGGAAATAAGTTCATGAAAGCTTCACATATAATAAAATCATGACTGCTAAGACCAAGGGCTTATTGGGACAAAAGAGAAAAAGATTGCAGACATAAAATTAACCATCTTTTAAAAAGAATAAATGATGTAAAAATGGAAGAAACAAGTGGTGAAAATGTGTAGAACAGCTATGTTTGATAATATGTAGGAGAATGAATATGTATATGTGCAGAGTGGTGTGGTGTGGTGTGAGTTGTGTGGTGTAAGTAATTACACTTAGGTATTTACACACACACCACACACACACACACACACACACACACACACACACACACACACACACACACACACACACACACACACACACACACACACACACACACACACTCACTCACACACACCTAAGTGTAATTACCAAAGTGTAGTTACAGGATGAGAGCTACGCACGTGGAGTCCCATCTTCCCAGTACTCTTTGTCACATAACGCTTTGAAACTACTGACAGATTTGGCCTCCACCACCACCTCACCTAACTTGTTCCAATCATCTACCACTATTTGCAAAAGTGAATTTCCTTATACTGTATTTCTTTGGCAGCTTTATTTAGTTAACAAAAGAAGCTAGTTTAGTTGTTTAGTTTGTGTGTGTGTTGACCAGACCACACACTAGAAATTGAAAAGCTTTCCCCCTTCCATTTCTTTCTTTCTCTTTCCTTTTCTTTCTCTCTTCTCCCTTTTTCTGTTCATTGTCTTCTCCTACGCTCCCTTGCTATCCTCTTCTTTTTTCCTATTACTATCTCCTTCGGTGGTTATAATAGGAGCTGCCTCGTATGGGCCAATAGGCCTGCTGCAGTTCTCATTACTACTATCCTCTACACCTGACTTTCCTCCTCAGCTCTCTCTTGCCTATTTATTGCCTGTCCCTACCTCCTCATCACAATCGACTTGAGAATGGTCCAGGACGGACCGAAACGTCGTCGTCCCTTCAATTTCTAGTGTGTGGTCTGGTCAACATACTTCAGCCACGTTATTGTGACTCATCGCCTGCTTGTGTGTGTGTGTACTCACCTAGTTGTGGTTACAGGGATTGAGTTCTGGCTCTTTGGGCCTGCCTCTCAACTGTCAATCAATTGATTTGATTCCCCCCCCCCACACACACACACCCAGGAAATAGCCCATAGCAGCTGTCTAACTCCCAGGTACCTATTTACTGCTAGGTAAACAGGAGCATCAAGGTGAAAGAAACTGCTCCATGTATTTCCGCCATCGCCAGGGATCGATCCCCGGACCCTAGGATTATGACTCCCAAGCGCTGTCCACTCAGTCGTCAGGCCCCCTTTCGTGTGTGTGTAGTGTTTTAAGTTACTGTGTGTTGAGGGTGTAAGCATGATTTGGAGTTTGAATTTAGAGTGGGTGTGTGATAAGTAATGAATAAAATGTTGAATCCATTTATTTCATCATCAAAACTATGAAAAAAGTGATCACAGGTAGTGCTGTTAACTTCAAGTAGCCAAAACAAATAATACAAACACAGGAAACAGCAAGGGTCTGCTATAATTGTTAATAAATCTCTCTAGATATATTCCCTTTGAAGCTTAAGGGGATGTAACATGCTTGTTTACTGGGCTCATGTTTATAATGGGCATATAAGCATTTACAAGTAAGTTGTTGAGAAAAACAATGTAACAGAACAGGAGTTTAAGTGAGGAGAGTACTTCACTCAACAATAAACTACCTATTCCCACATGGTGTTATTTCAACAAGACTGTCTGTGGTTATTTTTCTATGATCACTTTAAGAAGTCGTTGATGGGGATTAATGTAAGGCCTACAAGTTTAACACAGTAAGATCTTGACAGGCCTCCTTATGTTCTAATTCATGTCTACATTAAAACACTAAGCACAGGGTAATTTCATGCAGAATGGTCCCCTGCAGCATGCAGTATATTTGAAGAGTCTTCCAACTATACTGAACGCTTGATAATTTTACGCTGTTCAAGGCATCAGTAGCTGAAATGGGCAAGGTTATCATGTAAGTTTTAGTAGAACACAATTTTATTTTACAAAATGAAGCAAAATACATTTAGTTTTTACCCAGTTTTAGTTACAGGAAGTGTGCTACGCTTATGATGTCCCATTTTCTTGAAAAATTCGGTTAAATGGGGTCTTAAAACTATTGGTAGTTTTGGTACACAGACCTACAGTATGTCTTGTATTAATGTTGTTCCATCCTTCAACTACTCTATTAATAAAGAAAAAATACAGATTTTTCTAAATTGAGGATTCTTGATCTTGTATTATTATGTTCCATCATTCTGTTAAGGACGGGCAGAAATATACTTCAACTTTCAACAAAATATACTTCAGTTTTCAACTTTCTCGAAAACTACCATTATTGGTAATCATGTCCCACATTTTTCTATCTTCTAGTTCAGGAAATTATTAATTATTATTATTATTACTATTATTATTATTATTACTATTATTATTATTATTATTACTATTATTATTATTATTACTATTATTATTATTATTACTATTATTATTATTATTATTATTATTATTAAGTGCCATACTGGCTTAGCACTGTCTCCTTATAATTACCTTACCTTGGAACATAACATGGAAGGGATATGAGGACAAGGACTTAAGGTATAAAGACAGGGAGTTGGAATATGATTAGTGAAAGAACGATGCCCAACCACTTGGATCACTTGAAATCTAACACCAACCCTTTAAGATACGAGGCCTTTACTGTACATTAGTCCGAGTGGATGGACAAATGATAATGAAATCTGTCATATATCGGATTCTTCTAAATAAGTGGTGGAGGCAGGGACCCTTGATTGTCTCAAGCATGGGTTGAACATACATATGAGTGGGATTGGGTGGTTATAAATAGGAGCTCGTATGGGCCAATAGGCCTTCTGCAGTTACCTTTATTCTTATGTTCTTAAGTAACTATTTTCAACCTAATGATTGTGGGTAATTTGGATATAGGCCTATTGATTACTGTATGGTCAAATTGCACGCACTCATTGCACCAAAGTTCATGTGCTTCGTTATGATGGTTAGCCTGCATTAGCCTAGTTCGGGTTGAGGAAAGATAAGGTAGGTCTTAAAATCCATTGTTAGCCTACATTAGCCTAGTTTGGGTTGAGGAAAGATAAGGTAGGTCTTAAAATCCATTGTTAGCCTGCATTAGCCTAGTTTGGGTTGAGGAAAGATAAGGTAGGTCTTAAAATCCATTGGTAAACCATCTTGGGAGCAAGGTGATTTGTGTCTAGATAACTATAATATTCAAATTGCATGACTTGATCCATGGTATACAAGTAAACTGGATATTTTGAACATTTTTGGTCCAGGACGGATCGAAAAATCGTTTCATTTTCTGTTGTGAATTCGATGTCAACGCTTCAGCCACGTTATTATAACTTATAAATCTTATAAATCTCTTTTATGTATGTACCTTACCTAAATAAACATTTTTTTATATCATCTGCTTCAGGCTATAAGGTCATCATTTTGCCCCATGCATTATTCAAGCAGACCCAAACAGCAGTAATTAACAATTGCTAAGAACTGCACTAACACTAAACACTCCATGAACTATAATAGGAAACATAAGTCTCATCAGAAACAAAATGAAATATTGAGACAATATGTTTTGGTTACAATTTAACAATAATGCATAACAATCCTGTTATATATAACAATATTGTCCTTTTAATACAACATTTGTAATTTTACACAACATTTTTCCTTAAATACAACATTTACACTCAACCCTTCAAAAAATAATGCAAATCTGGAGATGATTTCCTCATAAACTAACATCACATGACACTCCACAATGACTCACTATTTAGCGCACATCAACGAAGCGACTGGCTGCTTACCCAACACAATCGCCAGTAACTGCGGCAAATGCACCACAGGGTAGGGAATGAGGTCACAGGAAGAGAGGTCGTGACCCCTGAAATATGGTAGTTGGCTTGGCCCGCGGGTCACCACTATCTTACACACACACTCATGTAAACAAACCCTAGGCGGTGGTGCCAGATCGCGCGGGGCCACTCTAGCCACGTTGCCACACCAGCCGGGGCGAAAAATTGAAATTGAAATTGAAATTGAAATAAGTTTATTGAGGTAAAATACACACAAAGGGATGAGGTAGCTCAAGCTATTGAAATTGAAATTGAAATAAGTTTATTGAGGTAAAATACACACAAAGGGATGAGGTAGCTCAAGCTATTGAAATTGAAATTGAAATAAGTTTATTGAGGTAAAATACACACAAAGGGATGAGGTAGCTCAAGCTATTGAAATTGAAATTGAAATTGAAATAAGTTTATTGAGGTAAAATACACACAAAGGGATGAGGTAGCTCAAGCTATTCTCACCCCGTTCAGTACAACGTGTTCATACGTATATAGACACACATCACAAACAATAAACATATTACCGAATATTCTGAGAGATTGAAATTGAAATTGAAATAAGTTTATTGAGGTAAAATACACACAAAGGGAAGAGGTAGCTCAAGCTATTCTCACCCCGTTCCGTACAACGTGTTCATACGTATATAGACACACATCACAAACAATAAACATATTGCCGAACATTCTGAGAGATAAACATATACAATTCCTCCTTTACACAAGTAGTATGGTATCAGACGTACGCACAAATACTTTTATGACTTAGGTATACTGTAT